AACTCCTGCTGCCATCCCTTCGCCATTACAATGAACAGCATTAACCTTTCCTTCCATAAGTTGCTTTGGTAAGGAACTTTGTCACAGTAACGGGAGGAGTAACTCATACTCATACCTCATAAGGTCTCCAGAGGCAGAAACATTGGCTATGATAGATCTGAACTTGCAGACCTGCCTATGCTTTGTAGTTGTGCAGGGACCTCAAAAGAATTCACTGCTGGAAGGTGAGGACTGAGATGGTTATCTGAGTGGCTCCCCTGGGCTTTCCCAGAAAGCCACCACAATAAACCTGGCTTATTGTTGCTCCTCCACTTGCCACCAGCTGAAATGACATACTTATTTCCTTCACTGATCAAATGTGTTTATCTTCTTTCCTGGCTGGAGTGTGCTCTGTATTACCTTGCAATAGAGGTGCTTCAGGATGCCAGTGTCTCGCCATGTGAACAGACCACTCTAACCATTTGAAATAGAGGTCTGGCACAGTGTGTTGATTATGAAAGGTTTGGAAGGGTGGATGGATCCAAAGCAGTCTGAGGATTAGTTGGAGATCTGGAACCATCAGGGACAGGGCAACCGCCACTCACACTCTTCTGTAGCCTTAGAACTTGCTAAGTCGCTCTGAAGGCTCAGGATGTGCCCTCACCAGCAGCCGTGGTATGAATAGCATATAGAACAGTATTTGAAACTCTGGTCCTGCAGATGCCAGAGCAATGCATTGGGTGGGAAAAGGTGAGGGTCAACGGGTGCTGTGGCCAGAGGTTGGTGTGGCAGTCCCTTTCTGAGATACAATTAATACAAATGGAAAGAATTGTGCTATGCCTCATACTGTCCACCTGCTCCAGTGTAGCTGAAGTTTTTCTCTCCAGCTCCCACCAAGGCCCTGCAGTCCCACAGCCCACTTATAAAATAATCACTCAGACGCTTATATTACTTATAAACTATATGGCTTTGGCAGGCTTCTTGCTAACTATTCTTATATCTTAAATCAACCCACTTCTATTAATCTATAAGTTGCCACGTGGCTCGTGGCTTACTGGTATCTAACATCTTCTCATGGCTGAGGCTGGCAGCATCTCTCTCCTCAGCCTTCCACTTTCCAGAATTCTCCTCTCTCCTTGTCCCACCTATACTTCCTGCCTGGCCACTGGCCAATCAGTGTTTCATTTATTAACCAATCAGAGCAACACATTTAACATACAGAACATCCCACAGCACTCCAGTCTCAAGGTTACTGTCTGGATGATGAGGATTCATAGATGCTGGTGCTATAAGGAGATGAACTGGTGAGGATTCATAGATGATGGAGACGAACTGATAATCTAATATGTAGTTCCTGACTATTCAGCTGGGAAATGATGAATCATGCTAACCAAGAGATTCCAAAGAGCTTAAAAAACCCACCAGGACTTTCTACATAGAACAGGACTAGAGGTCAGATCCGATGACCTGTTTTAGACCCCTCCATCTCTTAGAGATGATTCTCGCTACTTACTCCCATGTGAGTCCATTGGACTGTTAATGTGGAAGCCCACAAGTCCATGATCCTATAAGCTGCCAAAGGGATAAATGGGCGGAGGCTCTGGAAACTTTTGGGATGTCCTCATGACTCATCTTGACACTGACACCTATCTTCTGACTCCTCCAGCTTTGCCTTCCAGACTACAAAGTGGGTGGAGCACAGCCCACCCACCTGTCCGCATGGCACATGGATACAGGATCTCTCACCAGTGATGTTGGTGTTCCTTGAAGATGTCAAAACCATTAGTGAGAACCTCACCCCACAGAGCAGGAAGTGAGCCAATCAGAGCTCGAGACACACAGATTGGCTAACAGCAGAGCAGGATCACTTTAACCACAGGAGGAGGGAAATTAATCTGGTCTGTGCCCTCACTGTAAAAAATACCCACTCATTCACTCATTCATTTCACTTATTTGGTTAATATTTCCCAGGTCCTAAGATGAGATATGGTGATCAATCATACTTACCAAGTCCTGAGAATCGCAAACTAGTGTAAACAACTCCCCAGGCAGCTAGGCTGTGGGAGCATACATTTTGTATGTAGAACAGACCCTTAAACGATAGACCAGAATAGCCAGAGGTGCTTAAGAATTGTAGGACAAGAGGTCAGTTTTCTTCAATTGTGTCCTGAAAATTCTCTGTCCTGTTCTGTGGCCATGTTCTGAAACTGGTGGCCTTCTAAGTCATTGCCATTGTTGTGAATAGTGCTACCCCATGCTACATTGGCAGAAGCCATGCTGTAACCTCCTGGAATGGCATATGAGTGTTTTGCAAATGGAGCTCTTCTTGGCAAGGTCTTTGGAGATTCTACTTGGCAAGGACCTGTGAAAAAGATATTGAGGACCCCAGTGCTGCTCCTAGGGAGCAGATGTGCTTCAGGACTGATTTTCCTGTGTTTACTCTTTTTTTTAATTTTATAATTAATTTAATTTTACATATCAGTCACAGATTCCCCTGTCCTCCCTCCTCCCACACCCCTACCCCCTACTCCTCCCCCCCTACCCTCCCTTATGGTAATTTTTAGTTTCACTTTATCAGTCAGATTGTGGTTGAGTTTATGTGAAGCAAGAGCCCCTCGGATGAGTGTTTGTTAAGTTTCTAAAGTTTCCACAGGGGAATTAAGCCCTCTTTGCAGTTTATTGATGATAACTCTGGTTTTTATCTGTTCTGGTTTAGTCTGTTCCCCCAAGCGAAACTTGGACGCCTCTGCTGTCACCCTGATAAGCAGGAGGAAGTCATTAAGGTTAATTTTTCTTGCTTACTTAACTGTAGAGAAGTAACTACATTCCAGGAGTTTAGGAGATGGTTTCTTAAGAGATAGTATTAAAAAAATTATGGGAACATATAAGGAAAAGATGAAGGGCATGAAAGGTCAGACATCTCTGCAATGCCAGGGCATGAAAGGTCAGACATCCCTCTGGTGCCAGGACATGAATGGTTAGATATTTTTTTCAGTTAAAATTCCCAGTTCCCTTGCAAGCAAAAGTACATGGAGAAACTGCCAGGAAGAATAGAAACTTGGTCCCAACAGTTAAGAGTTAGGTATCCATCATTACCATTCTGAGAATGTATAAAAAAGAATAAGACCATATCGTAAAACTGCTGCTCCCATAAAAGTGATATGTAGACCATTTAGAAATTATTAAGACCTTCACCTGGAAAATATTATTCCAGGAATGGTATCTTACCCTCTGCTGACTGCAAAAATATGAACACACCATACTTTTAAGGACTAACTATAGGGCTTGAATGTCTTTCATTTTTTTAACCACGTGTCTGCTGCCAGCCTGGGCACAATATGAATAGGAGGATCCTGGCTAGATATAATTATTTGACTTGCAATATAAAATTCAGGCTTAGATGCGAGGTAAAGGTCAATTTATGCCTAGGTAAAGGTTAATTAATGCTTAGATATGAGGTAAAGGTTAATTAATGACGATAAGGGAGTGGGGAGAAGGAAAAGAATCTAAAATGGGTAAATGTCATGAGTCTTGGATAAGGATCAAAGAGAAATGAAACTGCTCATGCTTGGATGCTTTAGAACTTGTATAAATAAGGACAGCTTGAGCTATTCGGGGCCACTTTCTTGAAAGACAACTGGTGGTCGATGTCTTTGTTCTTACCAACTCCACATCTCCGCCCTATGTTCCAGAACCCCACTGGAGCTGGACTCTGGCACCACATGCAACGTAGAGGGTTGTACAACTGAGCAGGTGGACCCCACTCAGAAGCAGCATGGTGAGGAGACATCATAGACTCTGAGGTATTTCACGCCTGGTTTTAAATTGTAGTTCCATTAGTTTTAGCTAAGAGATTTTTCACAGTTGTCTATGGGTATTTCTCTTTTATTTGAGCCATTACTGCAAAGACTAAACCGACAAGTTATTTATGTGAAGAGTTTAACACCTCCCCACCCCACCCCCTAAGACATCATTTTCTGTCTCTTTTCCATGAAACATCCTTCTAGGAAACAACTGAGGACTGTAATGGCCTGGGCCAATAATCTCTTTTACGTTTCCTTCCTCCTGACAGTCAATGGGTTTCACAGGGAGGCTACACAGTGTGACAAGCCTACATGGGGTCAGGAGAAGCTAAGAAGAGCCAGGACACTTTCCAAGCCTGTAAGACCTGAGTGGGGAGTGGCAGGGTCAGTGAACTAGTGGTACTTTGATTTTCACTAGGAAAGAGTTTATGGATTCTGGGGAACTGAGGATCTATTTGGAGCCAACTTAAAACCACCTTCCACCTCAGAGGCCACAGTGACCTTGGGAATCCTTGACTGGGTGATCTGAAGAAGTGGCATTTGAAACCAATTCCAGGTACAGGCTTGATAGCCTCCTGTAACAGATACCACCCACTTCCCTCAAGGCTCAGTGAGAAGGTCATGGACTATGGAGTTGGATGGGTCTGAGTTCTGATGGTGCTCTGTTACGAACTGATAATGGTGACTATGGTGAGACACTTTGACCCCTGGATCTTATTTTTCTCCAAAGCCTACCTCATAGAGTTATGAGGAAGATTAAGCACAGACACAGACTGGGACAGTATTCAATAATGTTGGAGATACTATTCCTCTATTTCTTTCTACATCTACTTTACTGAGGAAAGGAAATGTGGCTGTTGTTCAAAGACAGTTCAATCATGAAAGTTACTATCTGGCAGTGATAAAGATCAGGCCTATGACAGCAGACTGGTTGCACTTGAATTCTGGCTTGCCCACTTACTCTTTTTGGATGCTTCATGACCCCCCTCTATCCTTCAGGCCTCTGTTGCATACATCTGCCTCATGAACATCTTGGCACATAGAAACATTTAACTAAACAATAGATTTTTATCATTGTCATCACTCACATTCATTTGGCTGGAATTCCTCCAATCCTAGGTTCCTGGAATCTGCTCTTGGGAGTGAGGCCCAGGAAGGTAAGTTGAAGAACAGGAGAAGCTGTGATGAGCCAATGCAGACCTAACCTCTGGGGTTTGAGATCATACAGCACCCATCCAGTTCCCAAATTAACTTTGAATAACCTATGACCCATGGAATAAATAAGTTCTTGGTGCTCTTCCTGTTATCCTGAGCCAGAGACTACCACGGAAAGTCTTTCCCCCCAACAACCCAGACCAGCAAGAAACCACCACCGAAGTCCCCAGAAGGAACGTAAAAGTCAGGTTGGAAGGACATAGAGTAGCGTTTAGCCCAGTGTATGAAATATTGAGAGTCTCAACTGAACGACCCTACACTAGGGTGAGATTGTACAGGAATGACTCATGACTTCTAGGAAAAGAAGGAGACTTGTTTCATGAAGAAGGTGGCCATTTATCTCACATTTAGGAAAATTCAGTGTCAAGTAGAGACATGCTCTGCCTCTGACTGAACAGCCAGACATACTGGGGAGGAATCTCACCAATGCAACACCAGCCCTTGCCCTCGTGATCTCAGGTGCTTCATTTAAATGGCATCAAATTGCTTCATTGCCACCCTATAAAAAGTCTCACCAAATGCCAGTTCCTCAGAGCCTTGGCTACTTCCAGTGTTGCTCCTGCCAGGAAGGAAGGTAAGTCTTATTACCTGAGATAGGGACTTGGCAAGAAATGGAGTCAAGGTGGAGATGGGGGTGGAGTACTCTGGGATAAAGAATGAGCAAGGACTAGACGCTGAGGACATCTATGAAGAAGGAGGATGCCATTGATGTGGAAAGCTGAGACTTAGGCTGAGAAGGGAGGGAGCAGTTCTACGTGGACAGGGATTTCCGAGAACTGGGTTCCTCTGGGGGCATTTATGCCATCGTTTCTCGGTTCTTCTTACTAACAAAGTGAACTAATACACAAGTGTTCCAACGGCAAATGGTAGAGGCTAAGTCTTGAGCCTGAGTTTTCTCTGTCAGCTTCAGTTTAAGACTCAGGTTAGCTCAGGCACATACATCTGCCCTCCCCGAGGACTTCCCGGATTGGAAGGAATAAGAAGGAATGCTCACCATGAAGGAAGTAGTGGTGGAGGGTAAACTGGTTGAAGAGTAATGCAAGACTGATCCACAATGTAGACGCTGAAGTAAAGAGGGGAAACATGGAGAGTTTGGTAGAAAAGTAATTGCTGTTTCAAGCCCTCTCTTTCCTAGTGTGGAAATAATCTCGGGGTGAATGGTGACGAGTCTGAAGTCACACAGCCAGTTAAAGGGGCAAGAAGTGAACCTAAAATCCTTGACTCCCCACTTACCTTACTGCTGGATGGACAACCTCTGGGGGTTAACCACCTCAAAGAGGAGACCTTTTCAGATCACCCTCCAGGTGGATGCATTGAAGAATTTTCTGGAAGTCTTTCTAGCATTGCAGTTTTGATGAATCTTTTCTTTTCAGAATTTTCAAAACCACAGCAGGATGTGTGACCAGCAGAAGCAGCCGCAATTTCTTCCATCTTGTGTGAAGGGTTCAGGACTTGGAGCTGGGCAAGGTGGCAATGGTGCCTTTGGAAAGGGCCAGGTTTCAGGCCAAGCTTCAGGCCAAGTTTCAGGCCAGGTTTCAGGTCAAGCTTCAGGCCAGGCCCAAACTGTTTATGTTCCGGGATCTGCCCCTTGCCAGCCTCAAACCATCGTGAGATACTCAGCTCCAGTTCCTGCTCAAACTTATGTGAGATATCAAGTTCCATGCCAGACCAAAACCTATGTGAAATGCCCAGCTCCCTGCCAGACATACGTGAAATGCCCAGCTCCATGCCAGACTACTTATGTGAAGTGCCCACCCCCATGCCAGACGACTTATGTGAAGTGCCCACCCCCATGCCAGACGACCTATGTGAAGTGTCCAGCCCCATGCCAGACGACCTGTGTCAAATGTCCAGCTCCCTGCCAGGCTCAGACGTATTATGTCCAGTATCCAGCTCCTAGCCAGACTTACTACACTCAGGCTGCTTCAAGTGGCTCAGGTTCTCAGGGCGGTGTCCCTGACCCATGCTCTGCTCCTTGTTCCATGAGTTACTGCTGTTTGGCTCCCCGGACCTTTGGGGTGAGTCCTCTGAGACGCTGGGTCCAGCGGCCCCAAGGATGGAACACAGGATCTTCTAGCTGCTGTGAGGATTCTGGGTGCTGCAGTTCTGGAGGTTGTGGAAGTTGCGGCTCTGGAGGCTGCGGCTCTGGAGGTTTCGGCTCTGGAGGCTGCGGAGGCTGTGGCTGTGGTTCTGGTGCTGCTGTTTGGGAATTATTCCCATGAGGTCCCGAGGTCCTGCATGCTGTGACAACGGGGATGATTGCTGTTGTTAAATACAAAAAGACAGCCCTGCTTCCAAAATTTACCTCCTGCTATGTCTTCTGACCCCACCCATCACCCTGCCTCTGTCAGTTTCCCTGGTCTTCCTTACTTTGCCCCTTTATCAAGGCATCCTGCCAGAGTTAGCATAACCCCAAAACTGTGGCATGAATAAAGTTCCGAATGCAAGCACAGTGGCTCCTGTTGACTTCTTTGTTTGGTGTTCATGCTTCTCGTTAGAGACCCTCATGCTCCTTTTCTTGCTCCTGATTTTCAGCTACTAGATAAAAAGCTCTAAAAGGACAGCACACGTAGATTAAGCTGGTGAACTCCCAGTCTGGGATCCACACACATTCTAGAACGCTGTGAATAGTTTCTTTGGGGTTAGGGAGTGAGTCTGTAGACTCTGGGTTTGAGGTCTGCTTCTTTCCTTTCTTCTGATTAATCTGCAGGGATTTGGCCACAGGCCCTCAAGGGGGCGTGGCTTTGGTCGTTGTTATGAAACCTTTGACTTTCTCTTCCTGATGCTGGAGGGCTTTCATAATCAAATCCTAGGAGCATCATAGGATAGTACTGCTACTGTGAAAGTAGTTTGATACTGGTGGGTTTTGTGTATTAACATTTTCTCATTTATTAGGGTTTTCTTCTTGAGGACAATGCGTTTAGGCCTTAAGCTGTAGGCAAGTTTTCCCCTGAAGTGGATAGCTGATGTTTAGGTCAGCCCTGACAGTAAGAAAGATCTCTAAGAGGAAGGAGAACTTTGACAAGCATCCTAGTTCTGACACTAGGTTCCCATTTTCATTAGCACTCAGTTATGGGGGATTTTGAATGACTTTTATGTCCAAAGACTCTAAAATGTATGCATGAAAAATAAATCAGTGATGAGTAGTCAAGGAGAGATATCTTAGTTGGTAAAATCTTCTCATGCAAAAGGAGTCCAATCCCCAGAACTCACATAAAAACAGTCTGGCATGTTGGCATGAATGCTGCATGGCAATCCAATAATGGAGAGGTCAGCCAGCTGAGTCTACTCAGTGAGTCCCAGGTCAGTAAATGAGAGACCCTTTGTAAAAAACAACAACAAACAAACCCAAGAAACAGACAAACTATAACAACAACCAAGGTTGACGCCACAACAAGGGACATCTGAGGCTGAATTCTGGCTTCCAAAGGTATCCACAAGCAAACTTGTTCAACATACACACAGACAAGCACATACAAAACACACCAAGGGTAACGTCTAGTCATAAGAACCACACAGGACTAGCATATAGGAGACAATATATTTGGTGAATGCACAAGAGATAGATTAGATAGATAGATAGATAGATAGATAGATAGATAGATAGATAGATAGACAGATAGGGAGAGAGAGAGAAATGGTGGGATATAGCTAGGAAGTTATTTCAGTATTTTTAGTGCCCTGTTGTCTTTGGATGCTTAACGACCCGAAGCTCCTTAAGTCATATAGAATCTCTCCATACAGTCTCAGCAAGCCTGCATTCCAGTTACCGGATGCTCCTCTCAGAGCCAGGAATAGTCTTGCCTAGGATCTTGTGTTCTTCATGCACCATCAAGTGGTACCTGCAACACTGGAAGATAGGGTACTGCTTGCTCTGCAGTTAATGATGTGATGCTTTTCTCTATTGGTTGTTTAACAATTATGTAACTAGCATAAGCAATATTTCTGATATTTTCCTTTTTCTTAATATTTTTAAATTTACATGAATGTATGTGTACCTGGGTGAGTTTATGTACAACATGTGTGTGTAGTGCCCACAGAAGCCAAAAGAAAAATTGGATCTCCAGGAACTGGAACTGCAGGCAGTTGTGAGCCACCATATGGGTGCAAAGAACTGAACCCCGGTCCTCTGCAAGAGCAGTAAGCACTCTTAACTGTTGAGCTATCTCTCAAATTCCCCTTTTCCGTTTCTTGTAGTAGGTAACAGGATTTTTTTCTATAGAACTTGCTGTCTTAAAAAAAGTCTCTGGAACTGGAGTTATGGATGGTTGTGAGCTGCTATTATGTGGTTGCTGGGAACCAAACCTGGGTCCTCTGCAAGAGGAGCAAGTGCTTTTAACCACTGAACCATGGCTTTGGCACCCTCTTTTCTGGTGTTTAGGCTTTACCCACATTTACATTACTATCTATCAATCTGTCCACCCATCTATACATTACAGACCAGGCTAGAATCCATATATGAAAGAGAATTTATAGATTTTTCTGAATTTGGCTCACCTCACTTAATATTGTACTTTCCAGATCCATCCATCCATTTTTCCCTTTAAATTCTGTGGATGTACCGTCTGAATGGAGTGAATGATAAATGTCACTGAGGGTACTGCATCTAAATGTATCCTGTTACTGTTGTCTTCTAATATTCCGTTGTATATCTAGTCAAGTTATCTAACTAGGTCCTTGCTATTGGCCTTTTCCGTAAGCTGTTCTGGCAGGCTTAGACCTTGTATGTAGCCTGGGCTGGCCTTGAACTTAAAGTGAGTGTTGTTTCTCCAGCCCCTCCTTCTTGAGTCCTGAAATCACAAGAGGGGGGCTATGGGTTCCTATATCTCACTTTAAAATCTCTTTCTGTCTCGTCCTCCTCCTTCATTAAAGCCTCTAAGATGTTCTCAAGTTTTACATTGAAATGTAACATACTTTCAGAAAAGTGCATGAATTACCCTTGATCCAAGAAAGTTTTTTTCAGTTTGAGAGTAAAGTCCCTAATCCCCATGAAGACACGAGATGGAATAGAACATAAATTCTTTCCATAACCCACATCTTCAGGAAAGCCCTGCTATGTGTTAGATGGACATATAGAAAAGAAAATGCAGGTTGTTTAGCCTTCCAAGGCACCTGAACTGAGTATTTAGGAGTTCTTCCCAGTGAACCCAACACTGGATCCCTGTTTTATACAGACTTCAGGAGACCAAACAGCCAGAAGCCAGAGCTTGCCTGCTTTCAGGAACACAGACATTCTGGAAAGACTATAGGCAAGACACATGCCATATTCATCAATACAGAGATGCTGAAATCTATTTTGACCCAGGTGATATTTCTATGTTTTTGGAGTTACAGCAGAGTGTGGGGGAGAAAGTGAACAATTCAATATTCTAATAAAGGAATGTGAATACTCATTTACAATGATCACCATGAAGGAGGGTTCCAAGTACTGTGTAATTTAACCTGGTCAGGAGGATGGGATGGGATGTCTCAGAGAAAGTATAGTTTTTCCAGGTGAGACAGGACTCCGCTGGGAGGGAAACTCCTCTCTACAGAGGTGAAGGCATATGTGGGGTTCTGTCCGAGGGGCCTCAGTACATTCAAGGGTCTGACTGACAAAAGAGGAGGACAGGTGGTCAGCAGGAGGGCCTTAGAGCACTGATAAGAACAGCCAGAGTCACCAGAGGGATCTAAGCAACTGCTCTGAGGATGCTAGGGCATAGGTGACGGCATTTGAGATTTTAACTTTATTTCTCCATACTGGAAGAAACTCATAATTGAGTACAAATAAACATATCATAAAGCAATTGCACAAAAACATTAGTTTATCTTGTTCTCTCCTAGACCCAAATGTAACTCTATCATTGTGTCTAGTTGGCACAACTATAAAGGGACAGGTTGGGGTAAGGGGCAATATTAGATGACGCTACGTTCTGGTAGGAGGACCTCTTTAGTTCAGGACTGTGACACTCTTGTTTCTAAAACTGGCAGGGTAGAAATGTAGCCTTCTAAATATTAGGTTTCCTGGAACTTTTAGGCTAATCATGTTGCTACCCTGCATTTGTAACTTAAATTGCCATATTCCATTTCTTATGTAAAATAACTCTGACTTCCTGACTGCTATTCCTGCTACAATATATTCTGGGAACTTAACAATAAGTAGTTTTGAGGGATTCACCAAACCCAGACCATAGAACCAAATCCCTGTGAGGTGGGAAGTGTCTCCTTGGACAGGCCATGCTGCTTCTGTGTGGAATCACATAAGTCACTTCATCACAGATTTCTGGAGTAGAAAAGTCATCTGAGTCGACTCCCAACTCCACTGCCTGGAGTAGGATAGTTTTTATACCCCCATCCCAGGATAATGATTCTATAAAAATCTCTAACAAGTAAAGCTAATGTAGATAGACAGATTCAAAGTTCCCCAAATCAATAAAAACATTATATATATATATATATATATATATATATATATATAATGTATTTATTTCTGAGTCTTACACACACACAAATCTATGGTCAATATTTTAAAGAATCCATAAGAAAAATCCCTCAAATCTGTTTATTCTTAACACCTAGGGGAAAAAGTAAAAAATAATGGTCATCAACAGATAACTGAGGGTCTTCTATATGTCAGTCATTGTGGTGGTCATTATGTGTGTGGCATTCTCTTCCCTGAGCACTGGGAGACTTGATCTAAACTCACTAGCTGTCTGAAGTGAGCAGCAGATGGCTCTTTGGTGAGGTCTACATTTGAATGAGGCCCTGTGACTCTAGGCAGGTAACATGACCTCTGTGTTCAGGGTGACCATGTAACAAAATCGCCTACAATAGCACCTAGAATATCTTAGGAACACAGTAGTTACAGCTTACCTCCCGGGACTTGAACCAATAAATATGGTGCCAGCTTAGAGAGTAAGAGGAGGACAGTCAGCTACAAAAGCATGAAAGCGTTAACACGTTTTGAAATCCTTTGTTATGCAGTAACATATTCGGTGAGAGAATGTTTTTGCTGTAAAGCTGAAGTTTTTGCTGTAAACAATGAAGCTGCATCATTTAACATTGATTGCAACAATCACTTTCCAGCCTCTTTCACTTCTGTTCTTATCCCAACTCTTCCACAAGTTCCTGTTGTAACACTGAATAAATCACATCCATGGACCTACGTTTCTTTTTCTGTAAAATGAGTGATTTTGGGGGAGACAGTCACTCAGGGCCTTTGCAGCTTGAATAGACTGGATTTTAATTCTCTGAATCTTTCTCAAAGATCACAGAGACTATTTTCTTAAGATACTGGAAACAGAACAGAGGTCTGGTTGGTAACTATAAGTATCACTTAAAGGGGAAGGAGCTGTCAAGTTAGTGCTTGGCAAGAAGGGGGAATTGGACCAGGTCATCAGACAGAAATTGGTAAGACTATCTCACC